TGTTTTGAATGGATTTCCTTGATTAATGTATATTTCAGGTCAAAATGTTATCAGAAAGGAATTTTCCACAGAAACTGTAGAAATTATTGACATGAAGAGTTATACTTCCAACCAAAATTGGGATCATTTCAAATTTCGGATCCCATATTCGTAAAGAATTCATTTTGTGTACGATATTTATGCGTGCAATAAAAAAATGAACACGGCCTTTTTCATTCCCATTTCCCAAAATTTATCCGGTAACTCTTGGTGATAAACATGAGCGTGAATATGTTAATAATTCAGAAATATTTTTCCGCCATTATTGATCGATCATCATTTGGAAATAATGTAGCATGTGATGCTTATCCTATCTTTGTTTTCATCTGATACCGATACTGTATTGATTACTCGATACCGATACTGTATTAATTGCTGCTCATTGAAGATATTTGCTAACATCACATTTCTACAATTTTTCAACGCAAATGATAACATTTACTACTTTCTCCTTCCTTTTCTGCAATTTCAATTAAGAAATTGTGCTAATTATAAAATGTCTTTCCGAAATTTCTACGACTTTGTTATAAGAGAGAGAATTGTACGACACGTTTGTACGAGACGTTTATACGACACGTTGTACGACACGTTTGTACGACACGTTGTACGACATTTCGTTCTCAGGAAGCTGCCGAAGAAAAAATGACTGGTTAATGTGAAGATAATATTTTCATACAAATAAGCCTTCAAGTATTATATTAGGAAATGATCATATGATCGTATCTGTCTATTCATACCTGTATGATTGTATTTGCTGTGTATTATGTCATTAGTGATAGTGCGAAAACAGAATAAAATGATTTTCCCGACAAGTCAATTTTTCAAAGAAGCTCTTCAATCATGATACAAAGCTAGCACTATTCTTACCTTCAAACATTTAGTTTGTCTTTTTTAGCCTGCAGATAACAAACCAGATGATTCTTCTGGTGATTGAAAAATACTAGTTATCATTTCAATTCAGTGGTCTTCAGAATATTCGTTGTCATTAAAATTTCATTACTTACTGATACTCTTCATGTTTTTATCAAATATTTCACTTTTGATTTTGCAAGCATTTACGACTGAAAACGATTGTTTACTATTTTTTAAATCTCAAAATTTGATATGGTACAAAATTAATCACAGAATTTAGTAACCGGAAGATTCCAGAAAGATATTTATTTCCAGAATGATATCTATCTCCAAATTCTTTACTTTGTCGTATTCAGTTTACAAGTGATACTTAGCCAAGGAACATGTAATTGTTTCCTCTTATCCTGATTGATTTATTTAAAAAAAATATTTGTAAGGAATGAATATCTTAAAATCGTCGTTTTTTACCTTCAATAACATGTGAAATGTAACAGTTTGGTATGAATTTCACGATTTTATCCACAATGAATTTCAATTTTCTAAGTTTAGCTCCAATATGTGACATTTTGCTGACATGCAACAAATTTATTTTGGAATAGTAAAATTTTTCACCCAAAATATGGAGCTGCTTCCAAGTCCATTACTGATTGCATTTAATAGCGGATATGGACCTTTACCACAACTTGTACCCTTGAAATCATCGAAATCAAGTGTCCATATGAAGGCACCACCATAACCCTTCTTCTTGAGCCATTTCATCTGGAAAATTTGATTATGTGAGACAATAATTATATATTATTTTCTGCTTCAAATAAATCTAAAATCTAAATTTGAAATTTAAATTTAATGAAAACGAAATAATTATACGGGCAATCTCTAAGTTTTGTTCCTTCTCATTAAGATTAAATTGAAAAATTGCAAAGTTATTTAGGAACATATCTTCTGTGGCAGTATTTCTCGAGTTATTCCATTTCTTATTGCCAAAGAGCCATTCATAAGTTTAGCGCTTTCGGTGATAACGAGAATGATAACATTGTTAAGAGGACAATGGTGATAACAACAACAAACGAAGTCAAAAATTACTTTAATTCTGATAGTTTCCTCGTTATCATAACCGTACCATTGATTTCCTTTTACCATATACACTCCAACGCCTTTTTCATCAACCGTTTCCTTGCCGCCTTCTTTCAGATATTTGCATATCTTAAGCTTTTATAATAATGCTTATTAAAAAAAAGAATTTGAGAGAGTCATCAATAGAAGGGAAATATCTGAAAGTAATTTACACCTCCCAGTAAGCAGCAGTACCGCCAGCGGGATTTGTTGTCGATGCTAACGATGGATTATTTGCCGCTGCTCCGATCGTTGTTTTTGAAGCATTGTTTAGTGTCCATCCCCTACCGTAGGTCGGAATCCCAATGATAATTTTCCTTTTCGGCATACCCTTACTAGCCCAATAATCTGCTGCAAATTCCTGAAACAGTCGTGAATTCGTTAGAATATCGAAACTTCTAATGAATTTCAAGAACTAACAGTATTAAAGATGCCAATTCCGGAAGTTTCGCCTTTCGTTGGATGCAACTTTCCGTGCAAGTCAACGTTCTTCTCCCAACTACCGTGCAAATCATACGACATCAGGAATAGGAGATCGAAATTTCTGCAAAAACATATTTGGAGAAAATATAATTTGATAATTTTAATTATATTGCCAAATAAATGAAAAATCATCTAAGATCAAAGATTAGAAGAAAAAGCTTTTACTTTCCCAGGGACTGAACATCGTAGCTTCCATCAATAATTCCTTTTCCTGCTGCTACGGCGGCGGTAAGAAGTAACCGTTTCTTGCCGGATGTTTTGGCTTCCTTCACAAATGCTTTTTTCATTTCCTGCAAAGTTTACTCTTGTTTTTTCTTATTCTCTTAAATAAGGTCAAGTAAGGTCAGTATATGTTGGTTTTGCTTTGGAAATTAACTCATAACAGCATTTCATTTGGAGAAAATTGTAGGAAATATCTGAAGTTCTCCAAGAAGCAAACTAAAATTCGAAATTCGATACATATATTTGGTTACTACAAATAATATCACTGACTTTAAGTAAATACAATATTGAACTTTAACCTTACAAAGCGATGAAATAACACTCACCTCAACAAGTTTGGCATGTTCTCGAGCCACACCTGTTGGATATTCCCAATCAAGATCGAATCCATCAAACTTGTTCTTGCGAAGAAATGCTATTGCTGATTCAATGAAATGTTTCTTTTTCTCCGCTGATTTTGCTATTTTCTTAAAATATCTTGAATCATCAAATTTATATTAGCATTCCAGACAATAAGACGAAGGTCCGGAGAAAGTCGAAAGGAGACGACACTGTTAGGAAACTATTTCTGAAATCTATCATCAACATGTTTAACGAATGAATCCAACTTTCTAAATGAAATCAAAACTAACAGTGAAGGTTGATGATCCAAAGTTGTAACCACCATAGGAAAGAAGGATTTTCAGTTCTGGGTCATTCTCTTTCAATTTTCTCACTCGTGAGTACATCCCTTCTGACCATTCGGTATCTTCATCGTTCCATTCAAATGCTCTGAGAGAAAAAGTTAAGGTGTGATATTCACAGAAGTAAATAGCATATGTTCAATACTTCTATAATCCATGGGAAAGGGATATTTGCGCATAATTAGCGCATCTTTCCGCCTCATGCATATGGACACTGCAAGTCGCACATCGTTGTGACCGTTGAAGTTAATAAAGATTTGAAATGTGAAAATGATATTCATATTTCATATCAGAAATATTATTTGTAACTTACAGTGACGTGCCTGACTGATCGACTTTAGCGAATGCATAAAGAATATGAGTGCATAAGCCTTTTGGGATATCTTCAGGTAAGAATTTACCTTCTCCTTTAAGATATATTAGATTGATAGATATTACAACTAACTTTGTGACATAATCGCAATCCCTATTTTACTTCGTTTAATTTGATTTTTTGTCCACAATATATTGTTCCATTTTAGATATTATTTTACAATGAGACATATCAAAAGGAAACGAAATATCATTTAAGAAATCTCATGACAAAAGGAATTTACGGTAATGTTGAAAATCAAAATTACTAAATTTTCAATTTTCGTTTTTCTCATTTACTTCCCTTTAATATTTTCTATGATTAAAAGCTAGCTTTACTTTTATCTTAACTAATGCAATTGCTTTCGAATTTTTATTTGAAATTAGTTTAAAAACGGTTTTCTGGAATTTAATCCAGTAATAAAAATTAATTGAAAGATCAACAAACCTTGTCGATATTGAGCCCAGTTAGTATAATAGCATCCACAAACGTATTTGGACATATGTGTGAAAAGTGTTGCATTATTCATTGCTAAACAAAAATTATTATTAAATTTATATTGCATTATCTTTTATGTAATTAATTAAAAAATTAATTATAAAAAAAAGCACAAATTGCAAATCATTTATTTATTTAACAATCATTTATTTAACATTATATATATATATATATATATATATATATATATATATATATATATATATATATATATATATATATATATATATATATATATATATATATATATATATATATATATATATATA